TCTTGCCCAGGAGGCAGCTTTGGCGATACAGTTGCCCAAGGCAAGCCGCATGTGAGTGCACTGGTACGGTCCCTCAGAACTTGTGTACTCGATTGCCGGGCCGCTTCCATGGTAACGGGTCAAACACCTGGAATCGAAGCATGCAGTCATGCAGTCATGCAGCGTACACTGATCGTCGTTCTTGTGACGCCACAGCTCGGTGTAAGCGTGCACACTTGGTGTCACCTAAGAAGGTATCTCAGAGATGCATGGCTTCGTCTAACACTCCGTTGTTGGATCAGATTGAACGATTCCCTAGAAATTGCCTCCGCTGAAACCATGGCCTGACTTTGACCTGCCATACGTCAACGACTTTACAAGGTGCATCTAACTTTTTATGCCAGACGACCCGCTATTCAAATGTTATTTGAATATTATTGTTACAGCTAAGCAATATTTGGTGCGGCTACTCCGCGCCGTTCGAAAACCATTCCGGAAAAACCTTCGGAGGGGGTAAATTTAACCCCCTCCCGAGCGCGTTTTAATAAGTCGATGAAATATAAAAAAGATCGAAAAAACATTCACTATGGCCATGGTTTTGTCTGCTGTGTTTGACAAGGTGGAAGACTTGCAACAAAAGATGCAGGTCATAGATGTTGAGGCATTGATGCATGTCATCTTGTATCTAGGTATTGTTTGAATGAAGTTTTACCCTCATGATGTAACCTAATGGTCAATTATGGAAGGTAGTGAACACTTAATTCTGAAAATGTTATGTGCCAAATGTGAACACGTGTGGATGTGATCTGACATGCTTTAGGCAATCAAACAATGGAATTGCCACACTGTATGCTGCCCAAAGTAATCCCAGTAACTGGGTGTACACAACTTGTTGTCTTTCTAGATGTGGAGAGTCTCCGAGCTTTTCAGTCTATGGTCATTCCAAAGACACTCCCCCTGCTGCTCATTAATTGTCTGTTTCCCAAAGCGTGTTTAGTCTGATTTGAATGTAATGAATTGGCTGTTCTTTCCGATCTGCTTTTATCTTTCTCAATCTTCACATTACAACATTTGACTGGAGCAAGCTGCATGCATCATCATCTTTGTCATGAGGTGGCCAGCCATGTGCTGTCGCTTTATGATGCCCATGCACTGCACTTGCAGCTTCTGTATGCTAGAAAGCAACAGCACACCTATGTCGGTCCGTTCCACCGGATCTGCCTCATGGGGCCCTGCAGGCACTATGTTATCCCCTGCCCCGTGCACATGATATACAGTGCAATGATTGATGCATGGTGAATTGATTAATGCAATGATAACCTCACCCACATTGCGCATTGCTTTTTACTTCTAAATGTTTTAGCTGCTGCAGTTTGTTTTCAGCGTGCTAAAAGCGCGTTCAATTTTGGCACGTGTTTTTTTGTATGGTCTGTTGAAGTGGCACTGAGTGGGGCTGAGGTGATCGTTGTCTGGGGAAGGGGTGATGATCTCCGGGGAAAGGGAGAAGCTCCTGTCCTCGATGAAGTGTGTGTTAGATGGGAGAAGCTCCCGCCGATACTCCCTGAGGTCACAGCAGAAAACACGAGAATTATCCGGAACAAAGCCTTCTCCGAAAAAATATGAGAATCGTGGGCGGATCCCGGCACCCTGCAAGTACATCAGTGAATGCGCCGCGGTGAGCACAAACAGCCAGTAGATGTACTGTTTGGCGATGCTTGTGGGTATTATGACCAGCTGCTATCTCCTTGTTGGGTGCATCCATGAAGAGAAAGGACCCGTCGATCGCTACAACCACACCCGAGGAGCCGGCGCACGCTGCAAAACCTGCGATGGCTTCATGTAGCCGCGCTCCTATTGGCCACGCGATGGCGCCACCTCGCGCGGGTAGCAGCATACTTGCAAAATGTCGTCAGAAACTAGTGTGACCAAAATTTTGAAGTTCCAAACTTGTCGCCAACGGAGGGATGGGGTACTGGCTCGGCACGATATTGCAGTGCAGGCATCATATCTGCCAACGGACGCTTCTGGTTGCCTCTGCGCTGACCATGATTGTCAAAATAAGGAGCCAGCTTTGCCTAGAGATTTTAGGAGAAAAAACTTGCGCGAGATACGAAAATGCGATTTGAAATCTTCGTCATCATGTCCTGGAACCACGTCATGTACATAAATTTCCGTGTTGTTTACGCGACTTTGGCGCTTTGACAAGGCCAGAACCGCTACGTCGACGTGTGCACCAGTGCGCTAGTCACTTTCTGGATCCTGTAACATAAATAGCTTGTCTGGACAGTATGATTGTGGGAAAGTTTATCTAAGCCTTGAATGCTTTGGAATGTAAATATGCTGCACAACCTAACGTCACATGTTGTTATAGATATTGTTCGTCTGTGTGTCTATATGTAGAACTCTCCTTCATGCGACTTGTCACAGCATGAGATTTCTCCCTGCACACGTGCTCCGAGCAAAGCTGTATCCCTGCTTGCAACCACACGCGCCAAAACTCTTCCATGCGTAACAAAATATATGGACGACCTCAATATACATGCACGATGATTTTAGCCGGCATAAGGTCTTAAGTTACCAGTGCCTGTTGAACTTCGTGTCTGTGGGATGATCGATTGCATGTGGTTACGCTCGCGCAGCGCTTAAAATGGTATTTCTGATTCGAGGGCGATGATCTGCTTTTCTCTGCATACAGTATTCTCGTTAAGGTAATTCGTTATGGTATAGGCAGCTGTTGTGAGAGACGCACCTGAAGTAGTTGTACATTTGTACATTGAAACACATTTGATTGTTCCGACTCGTCAATATCATCTTTGCTTCCCGTCAAATGTGTTTGTTGGGAAACAGCTGATCTTACTAGCCACCATGTTGAGGAGTTACTTGAGCGTTCTCCATGACGTAAATGGCGTAGCTGTCATAGGTTGTTACCTGAAGGGGCGGAGCATCTGGCAGCATTTTCCCATCAAGAACGGGGCCCCGGTGAACATTCGTCTGGCCTGTTTACGTGCTGCTGTCTCGGGATGAGCTGCTTGTAACGAACACTATAAATGGCTACGAGGACGGGATTCTGAACTGTTGTCTAGCAGTGCTGGTAGTTTTGCCAGGCGGATTAATCACACGAGAAAGGGGGAAAATGAGCCTGGAAGGTGTGCAACCTCCTACGCCAATTTTGCCCATGCCGGGGAAGCCGATGTTCGACTGGTCTACTGGGGAAAGGAAATTCCAGAATTGCCTTTTCGCTATCTCCGGAGAAAGCTTCAGCCCCGCTCGCCAGCGCGTTGTGCTCCTCCGCTGTGCCGGAGATGAGGCATACCGTCTTTTTGGCACCCTTCTCCTAGGCGTTAAGACCGTCAGCGAAACAGACTTTGACAAAGCACTGCGCCAATTGCATGAGTTTTTTATGCTACGCGTCAATGTGATAGTAGAAAGGTTCGCCTTTCGTCAGCGTGGCCAACTGGTGGACATTACAGGCCACGAGAGAGGTACTAACAGGATAAGGACCTCACACTGGAGAAGGTGCTGCTACTTGCAGAGGCCTTTGAACGCTCCTTGCGGGAAGCTGCTGCCATGGCCCCACCTGCCACCCAGCTCGGAGCTGTGGCCAAGGTCACCGCAGTCTCCCGACGCCACAGGCCAGATGCATCTTCACCCAACCCAGCCAGCCCGTGCACCAACTGCGGACACAAGGACCACCAGCCCAGGGACAAGACGTGTCCTGCCAGGCGAGTCACCTGCCACACATGTGAACGCAAGGGGAACTTCTCATTCTGGTGCCGCAGCAAGGAGAAGCCGCGAGGCCATAACAAGCCAACCTGCCAGGAACGCCAGGTGCTGTCCTGCTCCAACCCCATCAACTCCTCCAAGATGACCTGCAGTGTCTGTCACTGCTGGTGCAGGCGTCCAGCGAGACGTGTCACTCCAGGTCGACGCTGGCGCCACCTGCTCCATCCTCAGCATGAATCTGGCGCGTCAACTGTTCAAGGGCGTCCCATTCGGGCCTACCTCTGCAAACCTGTACGGCTTTGGCAAGAACCCTCTGCCCGTAACGGGAACCCTGCCGACATTAGTCCGCTTCAATTGCCAGGACGAGCCTGCTGCGTTCTACCTGGTGGAGACGCCCAACCAAGAGGCCATCACGGGCCTGGATCTGCTGAACGCCCTCAGTATCACCCTCCACCCAGCTTCCAACGGCATTTACCGCGTGGAGACGGTCGCGCAGCACCTGCTTGCAATCGAGGGGTACGAGCACCCCATCGCGCTGAAACCCGGTACCGTGCCAATAGCCTACCAGCTCCGCCGACTTCCTCTCTCAGCCCATGAGGAAGTGTCGGCAGAGCTGCAACGTCTTCTGCAAGCCGGCATCATCGAGAAGGTCAACGCCTCCGAGTGTGTAAGCCTCCTCACCGTGTCTCGGCAAGTGAGGGGGCTTAAGGACGGTCGGGTACGTATCTGTGCCGACTTCCGTGGGCCAAACGCGCAGATCGGCGCAGAGGTTCACCCTCTGCCCAAAATCGACGACCTGGAGTCAAAGCTTTGCGGGAGCGTCTACAGCCGAATAGACCTCAAGACAGCATACCACCAGCTCCGTCTCCACAAGGACTCGCGTGACGTCACGGCCTTCCTGACGCCCGACGGCCTCGCGAGGTACACGCGAGTCCCATTCGGCCTGGTCTCCAGCGGTAGCGCCTTCCAGAAATTGCTCAGCAGCCTGCTAGAGGTTGTCCCTGGCTGTGTACACTGCCTGGACGACATCCTCGTGTCCGGGAAAGACCATTAGGAATACGACGCCCGCCTCCGAGAGGTGGTTGATCGCCTCGCCCCGTCCAACGTCACCATAAATCAGGACAAATCCGTGTCCATGCAGACCACCACCGGGTTCTGTGGCCACAAGCTGTCCGGCGCCGGGGTGATCTCTCCACCGTCAACCGTCCGCGCCGTGGTTGAGGCGCCGCCTCCCACCAACGTTAGGGAGCTTCCTGGGGACGACTGGATGGTTCAGCCGGTTCGTGCCGGCGTACGCCATGGTCGTCCGACCAATGACCGACCTCCTCAAGAAAGGCACGGCCTGCCAGTGGACCCAGGAACAACGGCTCGCCCTCAGCAACGTGAAACAACTGATCTCGACCAGCCCCGTCATGCGCCCGTTAGACCCGCACCTGCCGACAGTCGTCACTTCAGACGCGAGTGATCGTTGCACCGGCGCCGTCCTCACGCAGATCCAGTACAGCGGCGAGGAGCGCCCAGACGCATACTGGTCCCGGTCATTCACGGAGGCCGAGTCCAGATGCTCCGCTTCAGAAAAAGAAGCCTTCAGCTCCGTGAAGGCGATCGAGCACTGGCGGATATATCCTCTGGGGATGTTTCTTCAAGCTCAAAACCGACCGCTCGGCACCCACGACTCTGCTCTCGCCGAAGTCGTCCACCCGAGCAGGAGCACGGATCGTCAGGTGGCAGTCTTGCCTACTGCCCTACTCGTACTCCGTCGAGTACAAACCGGGACACACCATCCCTGTCGCAGACGCGCTGTCCCGGCTCCCGCTGCCGGACACGGGCGGCGCCGAGCCCGACGACGATGACATCATCGCCCTCGTCACGGACGCCGCCGCAGACGTGCTTCCCGACGCAGAGATCCAGGCAGCATCGGAAGCCGACCCAGCACTGAAGGAAGTACGTGAAGCCATCCGCATCGGCTGGGCTGGCTCGGCGCGCAAGTGCCCGGCGACGCTCCGCCAGTTCTTCGGCGTCCGTCACCAACTCCAGCTGCGCGATGACGATATCATCCTACGAGGTCCCGACCGTGTCGTCGTACAGGCCGCCCTGACCGACAAGTACCTACAGGTGGCCCACCAGTCGCACGAGAAAATCGTGCGGACGAAACAGCTGCTCAGAAATCTCGCGTGGTGGCCCGGCATGACGCGAGCTATCACCGACCTCATCTGCGACTGCCAGACCTGCCAGGCGAAGGACGCCGTCTTCTCCCAGAGTGCGCGCCCTGCCCCGCTGCAGCCGGTCCCTCTCCCGGACCGAGCCTGGTCCAAGCTCGGCATCGACGTCGTTGGACCGACTGTAGGTGCGCCACCGTCAGCTCGCTACGCCATCACCGTGATCGACTACGCGAGCAAGTGGCCGAAGATCACCCTGACGCCGTGCGTCGAGACAAATGACGTCATCAGCCTCCTCAGCACCATGGGGTCCCGATGAGGGATACTGCGACGATCTCGTGAGCGACAATGGCGCCCAGTTCACGAGTGCCAAGTTCGAGAAGTACCTGAGCGACCGCGGCATCCAACACCGGAAATCGTCCCTCTACTGGGAGACTACAGCCACCGAGCGGTTTAGCCGCACGCTAAAGACGTGGCTGCTGGAGGCCACCCAGCAACCGTCACGGACGGCGCAGGCCTTCGCTGCGCACATTGAGCGCCGCCTGGCGCTGTACCGCGCAGCCCCACACTGCACCACCGGCATCCGCCCTCTGAGAGTCTGCACGGCCGCCGCATGCGCCCCGACCTGCCGGTGATGTCGGCCAACGCACCAGACGCTGATCTGTGCACGCGCGTGCAGAAACAACAGCGACGCAACGCGCGCGACTACAACAGGCCCCGCGGTGTGAAGAAATCGACCAGCCAACCAGGAGACACGGTCCGAGTTCGGCGACCTGGACACACGTCCGAGAACCTGTCGCGGTTCGGGGCGACACAGACGGTGGTCCGGTCCGGCCAGGATACCCGACGTAGACTCATCTGCCCCCGGAGTCGACAGTTCGTCGCCGCCTTCGGTGGACCAGCACGAGGCCCCACCCGCGGCTCGACCAACCACGCCCCCGCATGAAGCCTCGCGAGCGGCTCAGCCCGTCGCACCAGGGTCCCTGCTCCAGATGGACGCTAGTCGCCCATTCGAGCCCGGGCGGGTACGCCGCGCGACACCGGCAAAGACCTGCCGCCGTTCTCCTGCGGCCGACGACGGTTTCAGTCGCGAAAACTCGGCAGCCAGGCCGCTGTCGAACCCCGCTCAGACCCGCGAGCCGGCGCACCATTTGTCGTCGAATTTCGCTGTCATTCCTTGTTTAAGTACCGTACGTGTCTCAACTTAATGTGCGGGGATATGTAGTGTACACAAATGCACCAGCGGTGATTTCCTAACACTGACCTTTCCATAGTATTAGTTCACCACTATGGTGCACCAGTGTCCTCACCACGAAGGGAAACAGCCCTCTATCACAGAAGAACATTGAGTGTCTCGGCGCCTTGCCTTATAGGAGCCCCAGCAACAGCACAAGGCCTTCCAAGCAAAAAGAAAGAATCCAAGACCGATATGATCGGCTCCTGAGCAGCTGAGCGTACCCTGGCATCTGGGGCAACAGAAAAAGCGTATAGAGCCTTTCGGGCGACTGGGAAGAATCGATGGAGGGCTCCTGATCGATCAAGAGTGCCCAGGAATGGGAGTAGATAGTGTCCCAACAGCAGCATTGAGATTATATACGAAAAATGGAAAAATGTTCAGAGATCAAGGGTAATGTGGAAGGTTCTTTGGCGGTCAGATTGGCCAGGTAAGTGGACATGTATGGTCCGGGCAACAGCGTAAGGCCTCTGGGAAGCGTAATGTGCCCACAATTTTTTTTTTCAAACACCATCACTGCAATCATTACAGACTTAATCAGTACAGCTCGCTTATAAACTTTTACTTTCGTTTGCAGCCGTTTCATGTGGTCTGTAGGCGCCAACACGTCCAATTTTGTTGTGTTTTTACTAGAAAATCCTGCCTGTTCAACCGGTTGTCGGCCATTTCGAAGCCCTCTGCATGGTTCATGGAGCATGGCCCGGTGCTTCCCCCCCCCCCCCCCCCTCCCCTCTGTATTCACCAACGGCTCGAGCAGCTTAATAGGTGGGGCCCGCCAAGAACACAGGGACATCAATTCAAGTAAGAAGCACTCAACGTGGAGGGCCCCGGAGCGATCGAGTACGCCAGAGCGGGTTAACAGATTGGGCCCCGTTAAGAGTATGGGGCCTTCCATTAAAATACAAAGCACCCAAAACAAGATGGAAATGGCCCCCGAACGACTGAATGTGCATGAGCAGATTATCAAAAGGAGCTCGACAGGAGCGTAGGGCCCTTCATTTAAATAAAAAGCACTCAAAACCTAGTGCGGAAGACCCCCCGAAAAATGGAGTGCACCTGAGCAGATTGTTAGATGGCCCTGGACAGGGGCGTAGGGCCCTAAATTCAAACACCAAGAGCTGATGCACAGGGCCCCGAACAATCCAGTGAAATCGAAGAAGCGAACAGAGGGGTCCCGACAAATGCTTAAGGCCCTCCATTCAAATAGGAAGCACCCAAGACATAATGTGGGGCCTCCGAACAATCGATTAAGCCCGAACAGGTTGCCAGATGGGGCCATCGACAAGAGAGTAGGGTCTTCCGTTCAAATATGAAATACCCACGACACGATATAGAGGGTATAGGGTATACGATATGTATATATATATATATATAGAGAGAGAGAGAGAGAGAGAGAGAGAGAGAGAGAGAGAGAGAGAGAGAGAGAGAGAGAGAGAGAGAGAGAGAGAGAGAGAGAGAGAGAGAGAGAGAGAGAGAGAGAGAGAGAGAGAGAGAGAGAGAGAGACTGATCGACTGCGCCAGAGCAGGTTAACAGATAGGGCTCCTGTCAAGAGCGTAAGGCCCTCCATCCAAATAGGAGGCACCCAAGACCCGACGTAGAGGTCCCCCAACGATCCAGTGTGTCCGAGCAGCTTATCAGAATGGGTCCCGACAGAAGCAAAAGACCCTACATTCAAATAAGAAGTACCCAAAACCCAGTGCAGGGAGCCCCCGAAAGATAAAGTGTACCAGGGCAGGTTATTAGATGGCCCCGATAGGAGCGTAGGGCCCTAAATTCAAACACCAAGACTCGATGTGCAGGACTACTGAACAGCCCAGTGTCGCTGAGGAGGTGAACGGAGTGGCCCCCGACAAGTGCGTGCGGCCTTCATTAAAAAATGAGGCACTCGAGATCCAATGTAGAGGGCCCCCGAACGACCCAATATGCCCGAGCAGGTTAACAAATAGGTCCTCGACAAGAGCGCAGCCCCCCCCCCCCCCCCATTGAAATAAGAAGTACCCGAGACCCAATGTGGAGGGCCCGCGAAGGATCGAGTGTACCCGAGCAGGCCATCAGATGGCCGCCGACAGAAGCGTAGAGCCCTACATTAAAATACCCAAGTGCGGGAACCCCACAGAATCCGGTGTGCCCGAGTTAGTTACCAGATGGGGCCCCGACAAATGTGCAGGGCCCTCTACTTAAACAGAAAGCCCCCAAGACCCAATTCGGTGTGCCCCGAATGATCGATGTGCTTAAGAAGATTGACAGATGAGCGCCCGACAAAAGTGAAGACCCCAAATCAAGTGACAGATAATTGGAAGCATCCTGGACCAATGTTGGGGACCCGTGAGCATATCGTGAGTGTGTCGATAGGTTAGCCGAGACCGACATAAAAGGCGCCTGAGCAACTAAGAATACCCCGGCAGGTTAACGCATGGGGCCCCAACTGCAGAGCCTTTCCAGCGAACGGAAGGAATCTGTGGAAGACCCCTGGTCGACAAGAGCGCCCGGGCACGCTAGCACGAAGGATCAAGCAACAGCGCAGGGCCCCCCGAGCAAATGCTAAAAGCCAAGGACAAAGTGGAGGACGACTTAACAATCAAAATGACGCTGCAATGGATCATATAGGTTCTCGGGAAACGGTTTAGGCCCCCTGGACAGCATAACGAAGCTTAAGATTCCTAAATAACACTTTTCTGTTGTATCGTAGCCTCGACATCGTGGTTGTAGTTCATGGGCGCACCGCGAGTGGCGCCACTGTCGGGCGTTGGGAGGCAGTCGGCCCGGAGCCGCCGTGCAGTGGGGTTGCGTTCATACTTTGTAACTGGAACTCACGATAACATTAATAAACAGTTTGGAGACAACAACTTGGCGACGAGCAAGGGGATTTTAAAGTAAGGACAGGTGCAAGTGACGCGCGGACCGGCAGGACGTGTGGAGCTGCGAGGACTGACAGGGCACGTGGAGCTGAGGACCGGCAGGACGTGTGGGACTGCGAGGACTGACAGGGCACGTGGAGCAGAGGACTGGCAGGACGTGTGGAACTGCGAGGACTGGCAGGGCACGTGGAGCCGAGGACCGGCAGGACGTGTGGAACTGCGAGGACTGACAGGGCACGTGGAGCTGAGGACCGGCAGGACGTGTGGGACTGCGAGGACTGGCAGGGCACGTGGAGCTGAGGACTGGCAGGACGTGTGGGACTGCGAGGACTGACAGGGCACGTGGAGCTGAGGACCGGCAGGACGTGTGGGACTGCGAGGACTGACAGGGCACGTGGAGCCGAGGACCGGCAGGGACGTGTGGAACTGCGAGGACTGGCAGGGCGCGTGGAGCCGATGGCAGCAGCGTTTGAAAACGCAGGTGATCGGTCGACGGGTTTCGGGAGTTTTGTGACTCGGTCGACGGGACAGGGCAGTGTCGTGTCATCCATTTATTGTCACAGTGTGTCAGGGGCAGGACAGTGACGGGGGTCCGACAGCCCTGGGACAGGCTCAGGGGCATCAGTTGCCACAAAGGCCCCAGGACCGGCACGTGGTTTTGCGGTAGCGGCGTGCCGCCATTTTGGACGTTAGTTCAGCGGGGGCCCGGCAGAGGCGCCGCGTCGTCGGGTCAACGACTTCGGGAAGCGCAGTTCGGCAGCTTGCCGACAGAGGCGCTGTGATAGCCAGCGGTGGCGTGACTCGCGAGTCAGCACGGCACCAGCTGATCGACTGGAGAGGAGTCGAGCCGGCCGGCTGGGCGGCTGGACGCGAGCCAGCTGATCGGAGCGTGGGAAACGACGGGGCGTCGTGCGCGAGACAAAACAGCTGATCGGACCGTGGGAAAACAGCTGAGATCAGTGCGCCGGATCGAACAGCTGAGCGGGACGTGGTAAAGCTGAAGGGATAGCGCTGCCGGGAATGCATCTGCCCACGGTGGCACCCTATCATACAGGGGAGGACTTTGAGAGGTGGATGAGAAGCATAGAGCGGTATTTGGTGGCCGTGAATATAACTGATACCAATCAGAAATGTGCAGTGCTTCTCCATCTGGTTGGGCCGGACGTCGCAGATCTCAGCGAGACGCTGCCGGACGAAGACGCGACGGGAGATAGCTTTGAAAAACTTAAGAAGAAGGAGCTCACGGCGTACCTGTCGCCGGTCAAAAGCGCTGTGACTGAGCGGGCTGCATACCACCAAATGAAAATGCAAGCGGGTGAGGAATTCGAACAGTTCCTCGGGCGACTCCGGATTCAACCACAGAAATGCGTCTATACAGCGGCTGAGATGGACAGGGAACTCTGGGACCGGTGTGTCGTCGGAAGCAGCCCCGGGCTGAGAGAAAAGCTACTGCAGGAGGCGGCGACTAAAGGAGACGGGCTGACGCTCGCGAACGTCCGGCAGACAGCGCGGGCGTACCGAGACATGCGTCAGCTGAGCGCCCAGCTGAGAGAGAGTCAGCCAGCAGTCACAGGAGTCGACTGTGAGGGGACGGCCGTGAACGCGGTGCGGCCGGACCGGCCACAACGGCCACAGCGAGGCCAGTGTTTCCGATGCGGATCCAGACAGCATTGGAAGAGGGACTGCCCGGTCAGGGTGCAGGAGCGTGGCGCTGCCGACCGGCCATCGTCCGGGATAATGGACGGCGTAACGAGCGGCGGCAGCAGGGACAGACCCGCCGTCCCCCGCTCGTCCGACGCTGTTTCCGGTGTGGGTCGGCCGCCCACCTACAGCGCAGCTGTCCACAGCGCCGCACAGTGGACCATGTGACTGAGACTGAAGGAGGTGTGCCACAGCGCCTCAAGGACATTCTCCTACAAATCGACATCCCGAGCGAGAGGGATGGCCTGCCACTCATCACAGTGAGGATCAACGGTCAGGACATCACGATGATGATCGACACCGGCTCACCGGTGACAATCGTCGGCAGAGATGTCAAGATCCCGGGACTGCGCATGCGGGCATCGGAGCTACGTCTGCAGTCCTACACCGGTCAGACGGAGCCCCTCCGCGGAGAGGCAACGGTGGAGGTGGAACACGCAGGCCAGGCCCGGTCACTGCGAGTGGTGATGTGACCGACAGGGGAGCGCGCCGCTGCTGGGACGAGACTGGCTGCGCCAGCTCCGACTGAACTGGCGAGAGGTTAGCATGGTCGGCCGGCCGGGGGACGCTGACGGGAGAACCACGCCGGAGTCGGGCGCGAAGACGACGCTGGAGTCGGCCGTCAAGGCGCACGAGGCAGTGTTCACTGACGGACTGGGGAAGATGTCGATGAAGGCCCATCTCACGCTGAAGCCTGACGCGCGTCCGGTGTACAGGAAGGCCAGGCCTGTGCCGTACGCCCTCATGCCTCTAACTGACAAGAAATTAGAGCGCTGGATCACGGAGGGAGTCGCAGAGAAGGTTGACCCAGAACAGAGACCGTCAGGCTGGGGGACCCCGCTGGTCCCAGTGCTGAAGCCCAACGATCAGGTCAGGTTGTGCGCAAACTACAGCGTGACAGTGAATCCACAGGTCCGGGTGGATCCGTACCCACTTCCTGCGCCAGAGGACCTATTCGCGAACATACGAGGTCGAGTGTTCGCAAAGCTGGACATCCGGCGGGCATACGAGCACATGGAGCTGGACGAGACGTCACGGGACCTCACCACGGTGACGACGCACCGCGGCTCGTTCCGGATGATCCGTATGCCGTATGGCATCGCCAGCTGCGGCTTCCTGTTCCAGCAGGCAATGGACAAGGTGCTGGAGGGACTGTCGGGCTGCGTGTGCCACATTGATGACGTTTTCATCGCAGCGGAAGACGAGGCAGAGCTAGCGACACGGCTGGACCGGGTCCTGACTCGGCTGGAGCGTCACGGCCTCCGGCTAGAACGCTCAAAATGCACTCTCGGGGCGAGCGAGGTGTCTTACCTGGGATGGCGGATCACCGCGGACAGCATCAAGCAGGAGGAAGACGGGACAGCCGCGCTGCTGGAGGTGCCAGAACCACGTGACGTTCACCAGCTCAGATCCCTGTCGGGCTCGGCGAACTACTACAGTCGTCTCCTGCCAGGGCTCGCGACGACGCTAGCCCCACTGTACGCGTTGCTGAAGCGCGGCTCGCCGTGGAACTGGACGCCGAGATGTTCGGCTGCAGTAGATGAAATGAAGCGGCTGCTGGCGAGCGGCCGTGTGTTGGTGCGGTATGACCCCGCCCTGCCACTCAAACTGGTAACAGACGCCAGCGCCACTTGAGTCGGCGCGGCTCTGATACACCGCATGCCGGACGGCACAGAACGACCGATCATGTTCGGGTCGAGGACGCTGACACCGACAGAAAGATGTTACGCACAGGTCGAGTGGGAAGCCGCCGCCGTGTAGTTCGGGCTTCGGAGGTTCAGCAGGTTCCTGTTCGGCCGGAAGTTCACTTTCACCGTGGACAATCGGGCTCCGTCCCGGATCCTGAGCCCCGAGCGCGACCTCCTCGGTCTGACCGCGGCACGTCTGCAGCGGATCGCCATGGAACTGGCAGCATACCAGTACAGCGTAGAGCTACGCAGAACGGCAGACATGGCGCTCGCGGACAGTCTATCGCGGATGGCGCTGCCGTGCAGCGGAAACGAGCGGGCGGAGGCGGACAGAGAGGTGGCGGGAGTCCACTTGTTGTTCATGGACGGCGCGGGAGCGCCGCTGACAGCCCGCGAGATCGAAAACGCCACCCGGCGCGACCCGCTGCTGGCGAAGGTGCTTATGTATATAAGACACGGATGGCCGACAGAAACGGAACCGGAGTTGGCGCCGTTCCGACACCGGGAGGCGGAGCTGTCCACAGACCACGGCGTGGTACTGTGGGGAGGCAAAGCGGTAATACCCCAGAGGCTGCGGTCGCGAGTACTACAGGAGCTGCACACCGGACACCTCGGCAGCGCCAAGATGAAAGGAGTGGCGCGCCGGTACGTGTGGTGGTCGGGAATGGACACAGAACTGGAGGCACTGGCGCGGGATTGTACCGCATGTGTAGAAAAGCGAGGAGCCCCGCCACGGAGCGCGCTGCACACCTGGGAGCCGGCTGGCGACCCGTGGGAGCGAAGCCATGTGGATTTTACCGAGCCGTTTCAGGGCTCCAGCTTCCTCGTGGTGCATGACAGTTTCACCAAATGGCTGGAGGTGTGTCCGATGAGAGACACGGGCACAGAGAGCACGATCCAGGAGCTGCGAGCCATGTTCGCTCGTTTCGGTATACCACGGCAGCTTGTCTCCGACAACGGACCTCAGTTCACAGCGTCGCAGTTGGCGGAATTCTTGAGTGGGAACGGTGCGCGACACTTCAGAGTAGCACCATACCACCCGAGCAGCAATGGGGCTGCCGAACGAGCGGTCCAGACCGTTAAGAACGGCCTCAAGGCGGCGCTGAAGGACGGGGGCTCCCTGTCTCGCCGGCTGTGCACGTTTCTGATGGCATACCGCGCGGCGCCACACTCGACGGACAGGTCGGATGCCGGCGGAAGTGATGTTCGGGCGCCTGACGTGCACCAGGTTAGACCTCGTGCACCCAAGCATCACACGAGATATACAGGAGAAACACCAAGACCAGAGGGAGGCAGCGGGAGGAAGGTCGCGCCAGTTCAGGGTAAGCCAGACCGTGTGGGCGCGGACATATGGCGGCCCCCGACGGTGGCGGCGCGGCGAAGTGGTAGGCATCACGGGCCCCGTCTCGTATCAAGTAGACGTCGGCGAGGCCCTCCGGGCCCACCATGCGGACCAGCTCCTGCCAACAGCAAGACGGGAAGAGCAGCAGCCGACCGAGTCAGCTCCGCTGGAGCCGTCGCAGCAGCATCCGACCGACCCTGCTCCCGGCCGGCATCAGCATCAGATCCCGAAGGCTCACAGCTCTCTCGGGGAGAGAGAAGAGGAGGAGGAAGAGCGACCGGCACCGGCCAGGGAGGAGGCAGGTGGTCGCGACCAGACCAACACGGAGCCGGAATCAGCTCAACAGAACCGGGCTCCTGACGGGCCGGACGCCGAGTACCAGCAGACGGGGCAGCCGCGCGCCGTCAGCGCGCCGCCCCTGCGGACGGGGCAGACGCACACGGCCAGCGCGCCGCGTCACGGGACGCAGCCGCGCCGATCAGCGCGCACCACCCGACCTCCGCTGCGTTTCAGGCTGTAGGGAGCTCCAGTATGGGGGCGGAGGGTGTTGTATCGTAGCCTCGACATCGTGGTTGTAGTTCATGGGCGCACCGCGAGTGGTGCCACTGTCGGGCGTTGGGAGGCAGTCGGCCCGGAGCCGCCGTGCCGTGCGATTGCTTGTTCATACTTTGTAACTGGAACTCACGTTAACATTAATAAACAGTTCGGAGACACAACATTTTCAATCATTGAAGTTTTGTTTTCGTCCACTCGTGGGCCCTTTACTTTCGTTTGCGACCGTTCTTGGTTGCCTGCTAGTTCAAACACACCCAATTTGGCTGCGTTTTGTGTTGAAGAGCTGTGTCTGTTCGGCCGGCCATGGACCCCTTCGGAGCCGATGGGCCCCTTCGGTGCCCAAGGGGGGTCATGGTCCCGTGTCCCTCTCTGGATCCGCCCCTGGTTGGAGAAATCTTGGGGGGGTCTCCACACAACCGCGTGATAAAGGTTTTGTATCAATGATATAATAATTGAGAATACAACTAGCATTTCGTCAACATATAGTGGTCAAAATTAGTTGAGAAAATGAGGGAGACAGGTCGTTGGGCACTTAGCTTTGCCTCCAATCATTCATAAAAATTAGCGCTCCCGTCTGGGCGTACGGCGTCAGTCGCAAAAAGATGTGGTCAAACATGAACCAATGCAGAAAGTATTCGTGTCCATCACTATTATTTTCAATTGCGGCTTTGTCAAGACGAACTCTGGCGCACTCCGGCGTTTGTGTTGATTCGCGGGGGCATTCGGAGGGGGGGGTTGCGGCTGCGAATTGGGCATCGAAAATCTTTGGTTGAGGGATACATCATAATTGTGTTTGGTCAGTTAACGTGCTAAGGATTTCAACATAAGCCGTAACACGGAATAGGCGAGCTGAAAGTTGTAAAAAATAAACCGCGATTGTCAGAACATTCATCGGGTCTGAGCCGCTGCCGTGTGTCGATTCATCAACGGCGTTGAGCTGGTCGGATCCAGTGCCGCAATGTTCAAGAACACATTTCAGAGTGGCTTTTTATCAATATTGTATAGTATTGGAAGTAAGCCTCTGCAGATTTGGGACAAGAAGGTTAGTGACATCAGAAGTAGGCATGTGGATTGAATGTGCCAAGTGGAATCGAGAAGCTGTCTCGTTCGAAGCCCGTAGGCAATGGCGTCCGTGTATTTAAGTTCAATCTGTTTTAGTGCTTTCGTGGTACGGGCTGGTGCAACCGGGATTTTCTTCAGTGGGGGAGGGAGCGGAGCTCGGAGAGCACATACCAAGTCTGTCTTGAACTTTTTGTCGGAAGCCATCTATGCAGGAATCCGAAAAATCGGGACTCCACCATACCCTTGCCGGTATCGCCGGCAGACTTCAATCCTCCATAGACTGTCGGCCTGAATGAATTAAATCTAGCATGCAAACCATACAATATTGGCATCAGTGGATGCGCCACGCATTTTTGAACACGCTCAGCGCTGTCGCTTAGCCCGATGTGCTGCACAATGGCATTGACGTATTTCGTCACGCTTTTCGCCCAACTAGTTCATATTAATCGACGCATAAATTTGCAGTGTAGCTACCAGCTGATTATGTGAAGTTAGTCGGTATCGCTAACACTTAGAGCCAACCACGATGACGTCACAGGACCACAGTACCACTGCCAACCCGGTACTAATCATAGGAGCGTCCAGGCCCGGCGCCAGCCCATGTGACATTTGGGCGCTGGATGTGACACATACGACCCCTAGCAAGCGAACGGCGATCGCAAGGAACTGTGCGGGACAGAACAGCACCACCCAGAACTGGACAGAACCGGATGGAACAGTTATGGAGCAAGACTGGACCGGACGGATCCACTCCAGGACATATTGTTGGCTTGGTTGTCCAAACCAGTCGTCCGGCCTGGTTACACCAGGGCCTCAGGTCCTGACATAACCTCCCTCGGGTCGCCTTACCTCAGGGCCCGTTTGGTTACACCCGGTCCGTCCGGTGCCATCCGATCTGTCTGGCTTCATTACGTTCCATCCGGGTTCTGCCTGGTCTCGTCCGACCGAGTCCGGTCCCGTTCGGCTCTGTCCAGTCCTGTCTGAGACCGTCTGGGGATTTCCCGTGTCGTCCGATCCTTTGTGGTCCCGTGCGGAACCTGTACCAGGCTGGCGGTGATATGTGGTTTTATGACATCACTGCACAATCAGCTGAAAGTGTTTGCAGCCCTCATCTTCGCATAATCAACCGACGGCCGCACCGTAGATTTATGCGTCGTGTTGCGCGAGCTGGCTGGCTTGCGCATCTACTGATACCAGTATTGCATGGGTTTCGCACCAAATTCCGTTGATGCAGATCTTTTTGGAACTGTTATGGGTACTGTACTAAAGTAAGTTGATTCAGACTCGCAAAGCCTGTGCCGGCGAAACACCTACCCCCACCTCCCCCGGCTTTGTTCCTACTTCACGGCATTGTATTGTGTGGCCTGCTAGATACAAAAGCCACCTGAGCATAAGTTGTGAATTTTGCATGGGTGTTATAGTCGCTGTTCATCTTAATCACATTTGTTGTAGCTTAAGTATGTATCTTCCGCGTAGCTATTCATGATACGAAGAGACGGTAATGCTGAATGGTCCCATCACTGTATTTTGCCAGGTGAGAAATGGTCACATCAAGAGGATTACGGACAATGATATCCAGTCTCTGGTGCTCGAAATTATTGGAACCAATGTCAGGTAAGTATTTTTGGTTGATACTTGGTTTGCGATTCGGCAGGTGAGATTGTGCTTTTGTTGAGGGATTTGGGTAAATAAAGTCATGAATTAATATCGATTGAGACAGCTTCACCTTTATCTCTCACCTCTCATCGGGCTTTTGACACGGACATCGTCGAGGGAGGGGGGGGGGGGGGGACGGGAGACGCGTTTCCTCCAGCTTTCCTAGCCGTTTTCTAGTGTTCCTAACCGTGTTGCATGGTAAGAGATGTCGAAAAATGTATGATGTCGTTCGAATTTCTGACCTCTGGCGTCGCCAACGACATTAAGGCTATTGGATTTATCATATATATATATATATATATATATATATATATATATATATATATATATATATATATATATATATAGAAGGCTATGGCCTGGATATATAAGGCTATGATTATTTCTGTTTCATTCGTTCAATTGCATCGTTTATATGTTATGTAACCATGTATCTCACGGACAAAAAACTTTTTCATCCACAATTTTGTGGTGGCTCAAAATCTTAAGACCTTGTTTGCATGGAATTAGCGCAAAAACCACCTAGCTTTTCAGACAACGGGAGGAACACTGGCGTTGAGAGGCACCTTGAAGTGGGTAGCTCAGATCGGTAGCTCATATTTTGGCAATCGCGCCCTTCCGTGAGCAGAAGAGCCTGTCCGCTTTTCGTTGCATGTTTCGGTCGATGGCGATGGCGGCATGTACCTTCGTCGCTGCTGATCGTGTAATGAATCCTCGTGGCCGAGGATTCATTACATTGGATGATGTGAATTACAGACGATTGCGACGCAGTGACGTCTTGCTTTACGCTATTGCCCATTCACCCGGCAGACCCCGGACCCGTCGTGCGAAAGAGCGTGACGTGTCCGGAAAGGGAGAAAAGAAGCATGCCGTCGTGTGGTTTGAATGGGTCCAAAACTGTCACAATTTGGCAGAGTGTTATGGAGCGGTACTTAACCCACACCCTGTGTACCAATGTAGCGGATTGATAGGCGAAATTGTGGGACCGAAGTTGACAAGGGATATAGTGGCATAATGTATTGCACTGTAAGAATCGGAACGAATGCGTGGAAGGGAGGGGAAATCGACACGTTATATGAGCCAGTGGGTGCAAGCGCAGATCAACGTAGGGGAGGGGTGGGCAAATCATTACCAAAGGCTCTAATCAGCTATCGCTTGAAGCATAACATAGCTTCGGGAAGTATGGCGAGGTAGTCTGCAGGGCACGCCATAGCCTGTCTTATTCCCGACGGTTATAGTACGGGAATACCGCCCCGCCCCGCTCTCACCCCCCCCCCCCCCCCATCTCTACCCTCGCACCCACACATGAATTCCTGCGAAAATCGTTACGTCCTTATCTCAACCTCAGCTCTTCCCCTGAGCAGTGAAAGTGCCTGCGTCTCGTTATGAATTGGCCAGCTTCACAACTATATAAAGTTTTGACAGGAGTGCAGGATACGGCACAGTACGTACGGAAGGTTTCGTTGGGGTCTGCAGTGATGTCGTAGTATGGGGTCTGAAAAATGATGACGTCTTGATATCAGTATTTACAAGTCGAGAGAGGATTTGGATACGTGTAGAACGTTCGTTTGTTATGCAGCGATCGCATTTGGTGTGTCGTTGCAAGACATTACGTCACCATCGTATTGTGTGTACGGGGAATTCACCCGTGTCATATGGTGATTTTGTTTTCAGTACTACTTTCTTAACGTGCCCAGAAGATCCCAAGAAGACACTAGGCATCAAACTGCCATTTTTGGTGATGATTATTAAAAACCTTAAGAAATACTTTACATTTGAGGTGCAGGTAAGGAGATGGAAGCGACGTTGACACCTTTTCATCCTGACTCTCTGTGTTATAATGGGTTAGAAATGCTATCCGGTACAGTCCTCGTACATTACGTGATCCAATTGTCGTCACCGCATGCAGAGGAGCCCGTGCTACCACCCTAAGATTAACACCCCGCATATGGTTAGCGAGACGGAGCGCACTGATACGAGGAGGGCCGCAGACTTCTTCTGATGCTTCACCAGGTCATTGATGACAAGAACGTTCGCCGTCGGTTCCGCGCCTCAAACTACCAGTCGACCACGCGCGTCAAGCCGTTCGTCTGCACCATGCCCATGCGTCTGGACGACGGCTGGAACCAGGTACAGGCTCTCGAACGCTTCTGTGCCGTCCGTCATGTGCATAACCGCTGTATTGTGACCCCACAATATCGATGGACTTTGCCATGCTGTCGCGTCAGGTGCGCAGGCGGCGCCAGCTGATTGCGGCCGGTGCACCGCACGGTGTTCCCGATGACGGGAACACTGTGCTCCCGCGACAGATCCAGTTTAACCTGGCGGACTTCACGCGGCGCGCGTACGGCACGAACTACGTGGAGACGCAGCGCGTGCAAATACACGCCAACTGCCGGATCCGGCGCATCTACTTCTCGGACCGGCTCTACTCGGAGGACGAACTGCCCGCAGAGTTCAAGCTCTACCTGCCCGTGCAGGCCAAGCCCAAAGCGTGAGGCTGTCGGCACAGTCGGCCGCTCCGGGCTGGAACGGCAGGGGTCTCTCGACATAGTTGGCATTGGTCGAAATTTTGTCAGGTTCATTGTGTGAGGTGCACGGACCCAGCGCACGTGGGGCTTTGAGTCGTAATCAAAGTTGGCTGTCCACCATGTTTGGATAGTGACGTCTACGCTCTTTGTCGTGTTTTGCCATCAATTTTTAGAGTGCATCAGACCGCTTGCCAAGCCCCGAAGGCGAAGCTCATCTCCCAATATCGACAATGGGTTGCGTTATGCCGTGCCCTCCCCATGACGGCAGCGCGGGTCATTGTTGCCTTCCGACTTGAGACGCTTCTGAACGCCGGGCACGCGTTTTGCATGCGGTTCTCAAGACAAGATTTTGCGGTGACCAGTCCGAGATTCTTTCACACGTATCAAAGACTAAATTATTGGCACTGGATGTTCTAGGGACCTACTCCAGCGTATTATGATTTGAATCGTCCGCGAGATCTATCCTTGCACCGTTCTCTAGCACTCATCGTGTTGACATCATGTTGACTGGCCGCGACTTTGTTGTCTGTATCTCTATACTGTGATATTGGTAGGGTGCATGGTGCATCAGACTTCATCGTTGCTCATTCAAATGTTACAGTGCAATAAAATTTGTTGTCTGCCATTGTTTATTTTAGCTGTAAGAAATAACGAAAATGTATTCTCTCTTTTACGAAAGCCAACCCCCTCCACCGGAAAACGTGCTGTACTGGCCGCTGGACCAGCACGGCCAGCCTGCGTCGCGCGCGCCGTCGCCGCACGGCTAAAGCGCGGTGCTTTCCAGGCTACAGTCGGTCGGAGGTCGCTGGACCAGCACGGCCAGCCTGCGTTGCGCGCGCCGTCGCCGCACGGCTAAAGCGCGGTGCTTTCCAGGCTACCGCCGGCCGGGGACGGGTCAGGGGTGCTGTGCCGGGAGTTGCACGGCGTGCGCTGGTGGCAGGGGCTGGCCGGCAGCCGCTCTGGGGACGTCGAGATGAGCGGCGGCTCCCTCGTCCCGCGAGCCAGCGGGATCGGCCGCCTGGGGATGCTGCCCGGCGTCCAGAACGGCTGCATTGGCGGGTCGCAGCTGGGTGTGTTGATCCTGAAACGCAGATGGGGCTGTGAGGTGGCCTTCGGCGCTGATTCACGGGTCATGGCGGCCGGAATGAAGCTTCATGTGAACTGCTACGGAGGAGCTCCTGTAATGCACCAAACAAAGCAAATGGCTCAAAGCACCTCATTTGAAGAACAGGCAAGTATTACGCCCGGTAATTTTGAAAGCAGATGTAGCGGCGACAAGCAAAACGCAAACAGAATGGGCCGTGCATGGTACGTGCGAAGCATGTGGCGCGGTGACGGAGACGTAGCTGGGAAGGGTGGCGCGAAGAACGGGACGGCGGCATGTACGGCCTGCCGTGGCCGAACCTCTGCTCTTCACGTACTTCTCGTCGGTCGGAGGCCGCCCGCCTCCAGACAGGTCGTTCGTGCTGAAGTCGATATTGAGGGTCAGGCCTGTCGAGCAAAAGCTGTTGGAAACGCTTCGACGCATGCAGGATGAGCGGATTGGAACAGTGTTGTGGCCACGTCGTGTGGCAAGCGTTGGCTGGCTGTGTCGTTGTTGGAATACAATAGGCCACACACGGCAAATAGTACGCTCATAACAAGCCTGCCAGGCATGATAACTTTGGATATTTCGAATTGGGTGAAGTTATCTGCTAACATTTGGTAACACAACTGACGCAAAGGAGCCATTGGCTGTTGAATAGTTCCTGACCGGGATGACCTTCCTTCAGTTCAGAACGGGTCTCACAACAGTTGTTGGGCTGCCTAGTTGGTGGTCGCTCATTTTGTCTCCGTCTCGCGTTAAACACAGATTGAGAGCGAGGCTGGCGGCAAGTCAGTCTCTCTTTTCCACGTGCACCGTGCCTGAGCGGGGCTTGGGGTTAGCCAGGGGCTTGCCGGCGGCGTGCCAGCCGAAGCGGTATTGGGGCTGGCCGAAGTCGAGCTCGAACACGCTGGAGAAGGAGCCGGGGCGGCGCCTCTCGCTCAGCAGCATCCAGCCGCCGAACGCCAGGTTGAGCAGGCCCACCGCCACCGTCAGCCAGAGGCACCAGGAGAGCTGCACACCCAGCACGACCCCGTCGAACCGCAGCGCCATCTCGTGTGGGGGCATGAGCGCGCGGTACACCAGCGCGCAGCCGGCCGACAGCAGGCCGTTGACGCACATGGCGCGCGCCGCCAGCCGCGGCACGGCCGTCAGCAGGAGGAGGCCGCCCGCCCAGCCGGCCAGCGCCGCCTTCGCCAGCCAGCCGGCCAGGTAGCCAGCGCGCCGGAAGTGGCGGCCCCAGGTGCAGGGCGCCGCATCCTTGGAGAGCACCTCGAGCGTAGTGACGAGGGGCGCCGGCAGGCCGCGCCGCAGAGCGCTCCGGTACAGCTCGGTCATGCCGCGCGGCGTCAGCGGCCACTCCAGCTGCTCCCGGTAGTGGAAGCGGCCGGTCGGCGAGGCCAGCTGCAGGTCGGCGCCGTGCAGGCCGAAGTGCACAGTCAGCAGGCAGTCGACGCGCCGCGGCGCCGCGTAGGCGATCACGGTGCGCACGCGGCCGCCCATCACCGCCCAGCTGGAGTTGGAGTAGGCGCAGACGAGGCCGCAGCCGGTGCCAGCACCCCATATCACCTACAGCACGGCCAGCCACTCAGCATCTGCAGGTCGCCTGCTTCGTGGCAGAGCAGCACGCACCATCACTGAATTGTGCTATTGTTGACAGAGCGACACAACTTTCGTCCAGGCACCACCACCTTTGTAGAGATCGTGAATCATGAGATCAGAGGCCCACCCCATCAGTAGGTATAATCATACGCTACCCCAACTTTCTTTGTTTTCACACGGTTGGCTGAAAATCACGCTCATAAGCTACGCACTTGTACACGATATATAAACATTCGCTGCTGTATACCTTTTTTGGTCCGATTGGAAAACGATTGATTTCGAGCCGAACTGAACATAAATATTGGTGTCATCTCGGTTATGACCACGACTTAAGGTGACAGCGAGTAGTGAAAACGAATGTAAGCTTGCGGCTCAAAATTTCCGCAGACAGCTTACGTGCAGACGGAACGCACCAGGAGTGTCGAGTGGAGCCGACGGCGGCGCACGCCGGGCAGCAGACAGCAGCAGACCATGAGCAGGACGCACAGGCTGACGGTGGGCAGCAGCGCCGCCACGTCCCAGGAGCCCACCACACTCACGTGCTGGCCCACAAGCGACTCAGAGTCGGCACGGTGGGTCAGCTGGAAGAACCACTCCTCCAGACGCATGGCTGAGGCCGCAGGATATCTTGTCAGCTCGCCTGCACTGTGACGCCGGCGGAGTCAGCGGCGTCAGCGACACGTAGTCATCGTTTAGTTCGAGCGCATGTTTTAGAGCCAAGGAGTCATGAGCTCATGTGAAGGCAGTCATTGCAAGCTTAGCCGAGTCATTGCTCCACAGGTCTAAATTTGTGAAAAGTGGTAGCGTAGAGTGGTTGGGATCTGCGAATTCAGCAAGGCAAGGGTTTGTTACGTTACGCAGTCACGTGCACGTTACGTTACGTTATGCAGTTTGTTACGCGGTAATGTGTAGCATTAACGACTATTCTGAGATCGAAGATCATCAGGGTAATAAAGATTGAAGAGGCACGAGCCTAATGCAGTAGTTATCACCATCTTCCCGAGAAAGTATAACCCTGCACTCTAATCGTCTAAGCGGGGAGAACTTCCACATGGTGTTTGTTTTCGTGGTCGAAACTGATCTCCCGGAAGTGTCGAGAGTAAGACCACCAATTCGCTGCTCGAAAGGCGCCGGGGTCGCCAGCTCACGTTCTTAAGCCGCCCCGCCTGCCGCGTCACAGAATGAGACCCACGGGCGCCCGCGGAACGGGCGCCCGGGTTTTACATTCTTTACCCATGAGTTCCCGCGCGGTAGCGTACGAAGTGAACCTCGTAATGACGCCACTGACGCCCGCCGGAACAAATATCACAAATAAGCAATACTTTCAAATTGGCATCTGAATGCAAATATTAAGCATTGCTTCGGTCCCAGACAAGCGGAAAATCGCTCACGAGTAACCCACAATGAATCAAAAGCGTCCACAGGTCCGTGAAAGACCCTGGCCTCTGCATTTTATGGTGAAACTGAGCCCATTCTTCCTTTCCGTGCAACGGTCGTGAATTTTCCCCAGTTCTTAGCCCGAATGCGCTTACCTTTTACGCCACGCCCATGTCACTAAATGTGACAGCTTATGCGAACCTCCAGAACCTCCAGCCAGTCGAATCCGCTCAGAGCCGCTGTGTTGCTCTGCGCCCCAGACACCATGCTGACCCGGTCCCGCTGCGCCGCCGCACAGCCTGGGGCGCCGGCCGACCAGCCGCGGCAAACTCACCGCCGGCAGAGAAGGCACCGTGTTCGGAGCTGCCGGCTGATGTGAGGCCTCGCTAGTTTGAGCCAATCACAGTCTACCTGGACCGCTTAACCAAGCCGCAGAGGTGCTGCGCTCATCTGCAGCCCGCCGCGTCACCGTGGGCTCACACCTGCTGGGAAAAAAACTGGGATACAAGATTGAAAAACACGTTTGGAACGGCGCCAGCCTAGATGCAGGGACATATGGTGATTTACGGATGAGGGCGGCGCCGAGGATTCTGAGTCGGAGGTATAGGATTTTCTAAGGGGCTCCTGGACAAAAAAAGTGCCCCCTCACAGGGACCTCCCGCGTAGCATCGTGTTTAAGGGGAGGGCTACGAGGGCGTATTTCCTCTTTTAAAACTGTTGTATGTATCATTTTCAAGTAAATAAATATCGACCGTTAAAAAGGTCTCCAACGGGGACCTTTAATTATCCAGGAAGGCGTTTCGTTAACCTAAAACGGGGCCTCCTACGCCAGAAAAGGGCTTTCCGAAGCATAGAATGACATTCTGTTCCAAATCCTGTTCACTTCCTGTTCCTTATCAAGAACAGGATGTTTGCGATTCACGAAGAGAGCCTCCAAATCTAGCCAAGGTACCTCGCTATCACAAAACAGGGCGTCCTGATCCTGAATCACGGTCACCTGATGCATGGAAGGGGCCTCCTTTCCGGAAATGGGGCTCCTTCTGGGAATATAGCGTGTGACTCCTAAACTAGAACAGCGGCCTCCTAGTTTGTAACGGGAGTCTCGCGAGCAAGCAAAGCAGCCACCTTGGCACAGCATTAGGCTTCATGAACTAGGGCCTTGGCTAATTTATTAATAAAGGTGACTTTATATCCCAGCAAAGGGACTCTTAGGAAGGCAGGGAACTAACCCCTTATTGCAGTCCTCATTGTGAAATCTTGCGTGCGTCCCTACTTGGATGCATAGTTAATGCCTGGAGTGGGCCAGGTCTGACTGCTACCAATATCGGTTCAATGAGCGCAGCACGAGCCAGCGTTCCTCCTATGCCAGCAGAGTCCAGACACGTACGGACGAGGCACCGCCTCCGAAGATGATGATGATGATGATTTGGGCTTTGAGGCGCACGGACTACGTTGGTCATATGGTGCCCGGGCACCGCCCCCAACCGACAGGAACGCATTAGTACTGGCTACTGGCGCCACTGCGCCGAAATTTCGCACCTCATTGGGAAAGGGACGGGTTACCATTTCTCGCAGCTTTGGCGTGGCTGTGCTTCAGGTGCCCTTTAGGCCCCTTGATGTTATTTTAAACAAACGCTTGATAGCTTTTGAATTGGCTGTAAGAACATGCCACTCATGCGTCGCGTATAGTTTTCACCAACGCATCCGAGAGTGATGGATAAACAAACGTTTCCAAAATTGTTCGGGAAATATTAATGCGCTTCAAGGCAAATCGAGGAGCAGAACGAAACAACCCTGTTCGTTCAGATGACGGCTTCGCATCCTCAAGCTGCACAAATCGCAACACATATATAGTGTTCGCAGGTATTCTACGCCATGAAATTACACACCTGCCTGCATTATGTAAAAACAAACCTTATTTTAAAAATAAAAGTTGTGCTTACTTAACTGGGAAGCTATGGGAAAAGTGAAGCGCTCTTCTTGAGTTTCTCCGTTACGTTCATGCATGTTACCTGGATGCACCTATCCAGGACACGCGTATGGGACGCTTTCACGGCGCATACGCCATGGACAAAATGCATGGGTAAAATACGCTAGATGTTACGATGTTTAATGAGTCGTTGGAAAGTCTGCTAATGAAAACAGCAAGACAGCGCTACTTGAATAACGCAACAGCATGTCTACTACTCCGCGTCGTAATCCTGTGTTAAAAGCCGACGTGAGTTCACCATACATGTATTTTAGTGATTCGCATGCGAAACCCGTGGCCACACTTGGCCACACAACAAATCACCAAGCCCCGGGGTTGACTGGCGGCAGTGAGGTGGCCGACCGCCCGGCCACGGGCGGACGGGGCAGCACCACACCAACGACATCTGATCCCAGCGGCCCGGGCCGGTCACTGAGCTCCGCCGGCTGGACCGCGGACCGCGGACCGCGGGCCGCGGGCCGCGGGCCACGCGCGCGCAAGCGCCGCCGCTGGGAGCGCACATGGGGCCACACTAGCCGATCACGGGGACCGGGCCACACGAGCGGCAACAGTCCGGGGCTAGGGGCAATCTCGGCGGCCGACGGCGGGCCGGACCGGGAAGCAGCGGGATGCCGCGCTCAGTCCCGGGACGGTGCCGGCGCGGCGGCGCGGCACACCGTATAAAAGCAGCAATTGATTGTACGTCGGCACGCGCCGCGAGCGCCGCTAATTGGGACGGCGCCGGCGGGCCGCGCGGCGCCGGCTGCGAGGTAAGTCCATCCCCACGTCCGGCTCGTCCCCGCCTCCCGTTGCCCGCCGCGTCCGTGCATTACCTACCGCTCGACACCGAGTAAAGCGGGGCGGGCCGTGTCACACTGCGACCGCCCCGACCACGGTCGCGGCGCGCGCGCCCACCCTCACACGCGCGTGCCGCGGCGCTGCCGCACAATGGGGCGCGCGTGCTCCACGAAGTCGTCAATCAGCACGGGCCAGGCGCCCTCCTCGTCATAGTTGGTCAGATCGTCGTTGATGGTGAGTACAAAGTCGAGTAGCAGATTCCACGTGTCCCGCGGGATGTCTCGACGGTGGTGCTCCTGCGGGACAATGCAGCGCTATAGTAAACGAACATACTGGCTTACTTTTGACTTACATTTTATCATACATATGCACACACACACAAACACACACACGCAGGAACACACACGCCCGCGCGCACGCGAGAGAGAGAGAGAGAGAGAGAGAGAGAGAGAGAGAGAGAGAGAGAGAGAGAGAGAGAGAGAGAGAGAGAGAGAGAGAGAGAGAGAGAGAGAGAGAGAGAGAGAGAGAGAGAGAGAGAGAGAGAGAGAGAGAGAGAGAGAGAGAGAGAGAGAGAGAGAGAGAGAGAGAAGAGAGAGA